CTATCTTAATGGCATACTGACTTTTCATTAGACATATAATTGTCCAGAATGTTACACCATCCCCCCCTTAGGAACATTCGTCCTCGAAGGACACTTATATATCATTTAAACAAAGAAGGTGACTTAGTTTGTCGTACTTAAACGTTTCTCTTTTGTGAATATCTAATTCACATTTATTTGGATGATGGATATAATTCAAGATTATTTGAAGCTGCATTTTTATTTATTTTTTGATTGGGAATTTCATTTTCAATCACACTTAACTTAATGCACATCACAAATCATAGAAACTAAATCACTTTTGAAATCTTGAATACATTTGTGTTTAGCTGAAAGTTATAGCAATTGAGTGATTCTAAGCGTAAGTCCATGTGTGCACGATATCCGGCTCTTAAAAGAGTCTCTTTAATACTTGAACAACCACGCTCACTTGCGTGTGCAGTTTGGACGCAACATTTGTACCTCTTTAAGTGAGGATAGAAACTCATTCCTTATATCTGTCTTGTCTTTTGGAGTTACACCTCTGTAAGTGGTTATTGGTTACACTTGGCATTTCAACTAATTTTTATTTTGTTTTTTTCTTTAATCTTTCTAAATTTTTCAAGTGTGTTACATTGAAAAAATTCCTTAGAATTTTAGCACTGTTGTGTTACATTGAAAAAATTCCTTAGAATTTTAGCACTGTGTAATTTTTATACAAGTAAATTAAATTAAATATGTATATTAAAATTTATAACTTGTAGTTTTATGTATTTTAGCCCTATAATTTTTAAATTTACTTGTTCATATTAAAAATCTAAAAGTGAAATCAATCAAATTTAATTTATATTTAAGATGCATTTTTTTCGTAATCACATCTTATCGAAATCCCGAATACGCCTCCGAAAGCAAGACATTCATCTAGTATTGAACTATACTTGATTCCAACATTATGGTGAGAACTATATAATCAAAACATTGTGAAGTTTCAGTTTATATATAAGTCGCTAATTATAAGAACACCCAAATCATAAGAAATGGTATTCTTTTTCAAACTAAAACATTCATGTTCAAATTCAAAAAAAAAAACAAATTCAGAACCATCAAAACCCTTGAAGAGGAAATTGAATTTCTAAAAATAAAAAGAACATATGAATAGTGGTTATTAATCATAATTTCATTGTCAATGTTGATTGGGGACAAGAAAATTGACATTTAGCAACATATATAAGTATATAATATACATTAGCAATATTATTTGTATCTTCTGCTAATACTTGTTTCCAGAGAACTGGGTGAAGCCATAAGGTGACACAATAGTTTGGTAGGATTGAGATAGGATTTTTCAAACTCATTTAAAACTAGGGTTTATAGGCCAGTTTATGTAAGTCTTTGGCCCTTCGGGATTGATTGGGGTCGGTCCATGGCTAAAACTTTTTGTTTAAGGACAACTTACAATAATCTCAATAGTGTATAATATAATTACTTAAATGCACGCCATGTTGTAATATTATGAATCTTACCAGATTTTGGTGTGTCCAAATACATGTATTTAAAATATATAAACTCAAAATTAGGTTGATTTATTTAACATACATTGTATCCAAGTAAATTTGCATGTATCTAGGATACATAGACGAATCTCTCACCGCGCGTCCCTCCCATCTTGCTTGTCACTCTCTTATCTTGATCGCATTTCTAGTATGCGAGATACATGCTAATTATACTAGATTTTTCGCTAGTTTTATTGAAACAACACCATCTTTTGTCATATTTTATTTAAAAATCTACTCATTTTCTTTATGATATAGAATTATAAGTTTGAAAAGAAAAAAAGGAAAAAAAATGCTAGCCTGCCTCAACCCTCGGTCTCTCTAGGGTTGTGTTGGGTTGAGTTGAGCATTCTCAAGCCCTACCAAATGAAGGGTCGCCCGGCCCTAGCCCTTCAAATTCCTTGGCCCGCCGTCCGGCCCTTTTTCACAACTCTAGATATAAGTCTTTTAAAGTCGTTTTCATTAGTGGATTGAGATAAATAAGAATAGGGAAAATTATGCAGTTAATCAAACTTATACTACTTAATTACTCATCATAACTATAGTTTGCTATAATATAATGACCACTCATGACTAACATTATACATTATTTACGTGGGTTGACTTTGAATTTGTACAATTATCCACGTTTTGTATATGTATAATTCGCTAGAATATACAAATAGATATGTATAATATACAATTATCTTACCAATGTACATATACAATTCACCTCTCTGTCACTCTTTGCCTTCTCTCGCTCGCCTCTCTCCTTCATCTCCCAATCTCGCTCACCTCTCTCCTCCCTCTCCCAATCTCACTTGTCATATATACAAATGCATACGTATAATATACAATTATCTAATCAATATACATATAAAATTCACCTCTCTCGCTCGCCTCTCTCCTCCCTCTCTCAATCTCGCTCACCTCTCTCCTTCCTCTCCCAGTCTCGCTTGTTAGATATACAAATGCATACGTATAATATACAATTATCTAATTGATATACAATTCACCTTTGTCTCACTCTCTGCCCTCTCTCGCTCGTCTCTCTGCTTCTCTTCCAATCTCGCTCGTCTCTCTCCTCCACCTCCCAATCGTGCTTGCCATATATACAAATGCATATGTAAAATATATAATTATCTAACTGATATACATATACAATTCACCTCTCTCCCACTCTTTGCCCTCTCTCGCTCGCCTCTCTCCTCTCTCTTCCAGTCTCGCTCGCATCTCTCCTCCCTATAACATGTAGCTATGAATTGTATCTATCTAAATATATCTACGGAGAATAATTGGCTATTTTTGAGTGGTTTTATATAAAAGTTTCTCATAAAAATATTTTATGAGATTATTTTATTCTTATCTTTTGTATGAAATTATCAAATGTAGGATAAAACAATCCCGTTGAATATGCAAAAATTATTATTCTTATTTCACCCGCTAATCAAGCCTTTATTTCAACATGAGTTTATATATAGGGAAAAGGGTCAAAATTATCCCTCAAATTTGTTTTATTGATTGATTTTACCTCTGTCGCTAAAAGCAAGTTATTTCACCTTTGTCGTCAATAAACTTAACAAATATACACCTCTTTGGATGGAAAGCCCCAAATCAATTAAAATTATCCAATTTTACTTAAATTACCCAATTTTAACCTGATCCGACCCACTTAATAATATACTCAATTTTCCAAGTCAGATCTGCGTTCAACATCTAACCAGATAAAATTTTCCATCCAAGAAACCTCCATTGAAATTAATTTTTCCACCCTTTGTAATCTCCATTTTTTAATTCTTTCATAATATTCCGCCAACAACATTGGTTTTGAAAAAAAAGGTTCTCTTTTTCTTTAAATTTTACTTTTTTTGAAATGGATTCTTCTTCACTAGACATGATAGGGCAACATCTTTTTAATGGTGTTGTTTTCATGGAAAATTATTGTTGTTCTTCTTCTTCACCAGAATCAAGTGGCACCCTTTATTCCAAAGCTCATCGAATTCGGAATCTTTAGTTTCATTAACCTCGGAGATCAAACTTGAAAGAAATTTCTCTTTTTATCCTGATTTCATCAATACAGCTCAAAGTTCAAATGTAGAAACAGGTTATATTATTAAGTGGATCGGATTAGGTTAAAACTGGATAATTTTATTTGATTTGAGATTTTCCATCTAAGAAAATATATATTTATTAAGTTTTTTGACGACAGTTGATAGGGATAAAAATAACTTACTTGTAATATACATGCGCGCACGCATGTATGTATGTAAGGAAGTGTGAAAGTAGAGTGTTTGCACAAGTAAAATGAGACCACCAAAAAAGTTTGGGAATTTCTGGAGTTATATATGAACCTGGTACAAGTAGAGTGCACGTTCGTAAATGTGCTAACTATTCTAACTTGATATTTTTATTTATCTATTATTGTTTTGGTCAGAAAATTTGGCCATAATTTGGTTAGATTGGTTAAAAAATAATATATTAACGCGATAAATTAGTTTTTTTGGATATCTTTATCATTTTAATTTTGATACTCTTCAATCAAAAATAGAAGAAAGATCGGTTTATTTTATAATAAAAAAAATATAATAGAGTATTTACAATTCTAGCAAAATGTAGTCAAATTTTTTTTTGGTCATTTAGCATTATTCATTTTGATAATATATTCATTTTGATTTATCATTTTTAATAGGTACTTAATATCAATTATGTATTCTTCCAATCATGTTTTGTTATTACTAAACATCAATTAGTTAACAAGAGTACCTTAATAAATAGTTAGTTAATGTCTTTTTAATAGGTGTGTCAAGTTCAATTGTGACAAGTAATAGCGAACAAGGACATATTATTTAAAAATCATATGAAAATTTTGATTTATTTTTAAATTTTATTTGTGTTTTTGTCACATAAATTGAAACAGAGAAAGTAACACATACTATTTGAACACATGGACAACAAAATTACTTAATTCAAATGAACACTATTTACCACTGTATCACATACGTAGCTTTTATCCAAAATATCCAACTTTGAATCAATTATAAAAGAATTATCCAAAATATCCCACTTTGAATTAATTATAAAAGAATTTGACAGTATAATTTTTCGACTAAGAATGTCCTTTTAACACCCTGGGGCGGCTCTAAGTCAACAAAGAAGCCACCCCTGCCCACATTACATAGCATCACTACTCAATAATAATTAACTAACTTAAAATTAAAAAATCATATAAATAAAATTTCAATTAAAGAAAACTTAATTTTACTATAAAATTTTCTAATGTAAGGTGCCAACATAAATTGAAACACAACTTTTATAAGCCTATTTTAAGGTTCATCCCCATTGTAACACCAATAGTGGTAGGGTATGTATTGCACCTTTTCACCAAGGAAGGAATGATATTGGACCAAAAAAGTTTAGGACAAAACTATTGCGATCGCGGAGTGTAATATTACACAGGTATAATTGACTCTTTTCCCTTTAATAACAATATATTAGCTCTAAATACAAGCTACATTACCATTCACAAACAAACATGATAGTAACAGAAATATTACATCTTACGAAATCCAGAAGTTGTGTAAATAATATTTCTAGCACAAACGCATCCTTCATAATTCAATTACCACAACACAAAATAGCTAACAAGACAAATGTTTTGACAGTTTAAGTTCTTCACACATACGTAATTCTCGCAGAGAGGAGTCTGATGATATCTTCAAGATTATGCCCACAAGTCGTAGCAATTTGACGAACCAACAAGATGGCGTCCAGAGGACTAGAGGCAGCACTCCTCCAAAAGACAGCAACAACAAAGAGTAGCCAAACTGCAGAAAACATCAGTTTTAAGCAAACAGTATAAATAGATGAGATGAGAGGAATATACAGTCTTGTGTGTGTGTTCATCGTGATTTTCTTCGCATCTTTAATCAAGTAATGTATCACCTTATTACCCTCATAGTTTTTCCCTCTATTTCGCATGTGATATGCTCGATATTTCTTAGCTAATCTGACCTATTTATCTTATCATTTTTCTTCTATGTTTCAGCTTGTAACTGTCCCTCTTCCTTCCTTTCAACCATCCCCCCAAGCAAGAATTTGAACATGTTAAGAAACAGATGTATAATAACACGTAAGAGTATGGCATTAGCTTCCGTAAATTCACCAAACTTAATACTGCTTGCAAGGATTGCTCACTGGTTGAGATGTAATAAGTGGGAAAAAAATGATTTCAGCAGTTAAAACACGAAAATGCACTTGCATAAGACCTCTTTGACTCTTTCTACCAAGGGCAACCTAAGAAACTCCTGTAATGCAATCTTTTGTCGGTTGAATTACTCTTAGTCCTTGGAATCTAGAGACACTCGTATCAATATAGAGTTGAAGAAATAGATCCGATAAAAACAATTCTGAACCTGAAGTTTGCAACAGAAAAAAGGAAAGCAGAAGCTCCTTGCAGGTTCGCAAAGACATTATGAGCAGCAAAAGAGAAATGCAGCTTTATGCCACAAGATGAAAAAAGTTTTAATGCAGACATGAAATAAGACAAGGACAGAAATAATAACCTCTTGTGGTTTCACAAAATAACAAGGGGAAAAACTCATTGGTGTTGTTAGCTACAAGATGAAACAAATGGCTAAATGATTCATGTTCAAACATCGAATTAACCTTCTTCATGTATATCCCAGGGCAAGTAAGAATCTCCAAGTATAGGCATTATAGTTAAAATCTGAGGAAGATGGTTCGCTAGGATGGCAGCAATGGTCATCTTAATTAGCTCCAGGGGTTTTGATTGAGTCTCAAGGAGCAGCACCGAACTGTTAGGCGCATCTCACGTGCTCAAACTTTACATTGGATGAATTTTCATGGAAGAAGATAAGAGGAAGAAAGGGCAATTACGGAGTTTCAAACCGTGCACTAGCTGGCACTTTGGAGATTCCTCGGTTATCAAAAATATAAAGATGTCTTAACAAAGAAAGAACCAAAAGACTGTTGATCATGTTGACATGCTAACCAAAAGTCTAGTGATACTACCAAACCGTGCACTAGCTGACAAGAAATGAGTTTTGTTAATAGGTTGGAGAATGTTTTCAACCAGACAAACTTGGCAAGAATCATGATGTGCAGCTTGCTATACCAAACGTGTAGCAATAACCAAATCTTGTTGATCCAATGAACTGATGGCAATCTGCTCGCCTGAACGGCTTCATTCAGGTAGCACTATTCCCTGTATTTACTGAGTTGTCGAATTCTTTTTCTATATAATAGTTGAAAAACATGAGTAAGAAACTTCACATAGGAAGAGATCCTTACTATCTCAAAATTACCGTCTAATTGGCATTACACAGAACTATCATAATGACGTTAGATGCAAGAAAACACATGCATAAATTATAAGGATATTCCAACAATTTTGACTCCAACTACGAGTGGGCTATAGAACTGTGTTTTTGTACATTACTAATACAGTTCGCCTGAAGCATTGTTTGCTCAGAACAGTTATATGTTGCAAAGAAAAAAGGCAGAATGTAAACAACACATGAGGAGATAAAATTTAGGATAATATATCAAGGCACGCAAGTAAACAAAACCTTTCTTCTCAAGCTCCTAACCAAAACCTCAACTAGGCGTGATCCATTCAGATCCCAGCATGATGCTGTCTAGAATCCTCCGCCGCAAAAAATAATCTAAGATAAATGAATACAAATACACCAAAAGAAAACAATGGTTCTTCTGTTGTTAATTGGTTTACCATAAAGGATCTTTTCAATGGGTCGATCAGCAATCTAGATTCCTCATGACTACTCTTCAAACACAAGTTCCCAAAAACTTAAAAATTTGAGTTGCCTCGAATGTGGTAGAATGTCTCTGACCAGGAAAAGTGGAAAGAATGCATCTCACTCACTTTTTGCAACTGGCCATTCCAAAGGTGCTTGATATTTTGGCACAAATCTTTTTTTTTTCTTAAAAATATTAAAACCAAATCGTGATGTATAGGTTCCTAAAGTTTGCTCCTTGAACAACCATTCTGCAAGCACTATGTTCATTATTTGTTTACTTATCACATTCTTTTCTTATATGATGACTGAATAACATGATAAAACACTTCACATTAGAGAGAGATCCTTCTTCTCTGAACATCACTTAGATTCTATGATATCAGAAATAATTTACCATGATTGTTTTCACAGAACGCGTGCATAGTTTATACAGACACTCCTACAAGTCAAGTTATAGGGCAGAAGAATTAATGTATTGAATTCACCACCATTGTTCACCTAAGGCAACTTTTTACTTAAAATAGTCTCTGTGGCTAAAGAATAGCAACATACAAATAACACATGCAGAATCAAATATTAGAGTAACAAAATTGGGCAATATTCAAGGATCCTAAGAACCATGCCCTAAGGAGTTCAGGTAGGCTGCATAGGTAATGCAACCCTCCAACTTCCTTCCTTCTATTTGGGCTCATAATCTCTCATTTAAGCTGAACTTTGTGGATACTGGTCATGATCGCCTTTGCCACAAAACAAAACTCGAGATCAACAAATCCAAATACGCTTAAGAGATAAACGGTTCTCGTGTTGTCATCCAGTTAGTTCTCAATCTATCTCACTTCATTCCATATTCAGCACTATATCCAGTTCCTGAAGATTATTCTCGGAAAAACAAGTTCAACATGACTTCAAAATGCACATACATCAAAACTTAACCTTAGCAATGATCATAAATGAAGCAATATCCTCACTTATTATCAACTCTAGCTTTGTCTTTTCGGTTACCTAGTGTGGGAGTTTAAAAAAGGTTGCATTTTGGCCTGTCAACAAACAGGATAGGCAGTCCACATTGATAGTGCCCTCCCCACCTTTCAACACACCTCATTTTCACCCCACCCCTCATAGCCCACATCCCAACCATCTTCACCTCTCATAGCATTTTAGTATTCGTCTAAATTATATACAAATGCTTTTAGGATAATATTTTTCGCTTGCTTGCGTACTGAACACAAGAAAATAAGTAAAAAAAACACTTATTTTCCTAGAAAACATTTTCCAATCATACTTACACTACAAATATCTCTACCCTTACATCATGAAATTAGCTAATTTAACACTAACTACCAGCCTAACCACAACCCTCTTCCTTCATCCGGACTTACAAACATACGATTTAACAAAAACTCAAAACAAATAGTTAGAAAAAACAAGATAACATACCATCCCCTTAGAAATGAAGAACATCCATCGTCATTACGATAATAGCCACCACCATCATGGTACATATGCTGAGGTGGTGGTGGTGGAGGATATTGATCATTAAAATACCCCTGATAACCCTGAGGTCCAGGAGGTGGTGGTGGAGGAGGATACCCTCCGTTATAAAACCCCGGTGGCGGTGGCATCCCCTGCCCTGGGTATCCTTGTGGTTGCGGTGGCGGTGGTGGTCCATACCCTAAAAAAAACAAAAATTGTCAATTCAATCCACAAATTAAGTTCAATCACACAACAATCAATCAATTAATCAATAATTGCATAGACTATTCACTTTCGATTCTTAAAAAATAAGAATTCGACACGGACTCATCGATTAGAAAATTGGAAAATATTTGGTACCTGGTGGAGGGTAGTCAGGGTAAGAACCTTCATGAACATGTTGATAACTCATTGTGATGGTGTGATTTGAGTGGGAAAAAAATGAATAAGAGGTACAGGTAGATGAGTTATTAAATAAAGGGGTGTTAAACTTAGGTGTTAAGGTACAGGGGCAGGTGTGAAGATGAAATGAAAGAAAATTAAATTTTAGAAAGAGGATATAATTATGATAGTCATTCACATGTTAGCAAACAGAGAATACTTTCCGTGCTCATCATGATCCATGGACCCGGTAATTTAAATCTACGCTAATTTTTTGATGAGAGAATCGTTATATCAATTTAAATTAATAGTAATAATTATATGAAAACTAACGCATTTAAAGATACGGAAGCGAGTTTAAATGACAATAAAAATATAGAATTTTCATAAGCTCTAAAGGTTTAAACAAATAACTAACTAAACTAATGCAGAAAAACAACCCTTAGAATCTGAAAGACATTGTACCAAACTTTACTAACAACAAGTCTAAGAACAAGAGGTACAACTTTGAAACTAAATAGTACCTTAAACAAAAGTTTGGGCCCGAAAGAGTCAACTTAAATAAGAAAGATTCATGGCAGCTTGAAAGAACTGGCTCACTTTTGAATTCGGTCACACTCAATAGTTACATAAGTGAGATCTATCAATAGAGTCACCTGAAGATGCCCTGCATTTGACAAGAAAAAGCAAGTACAGTATCAGTATACAACCACAATTTACTGGTAGGATCACGCGACTATTCCATTAAGTGCAAAAGAAGTAAGTCAATAAAACATAATAATAACATGCGTACACCGAATATATACATCATCATTATTTACGAACAACGGGGCATTTCAAAACTCTGAAATATCACAGGTATATCAAGTAGTTGGTCCTATCATGGAACTCAAACCTAAACAGTTAGCATACCGAAACGTGTTACCCAATTCAATGTTTATGTCAAAGCGTGGCAACAGATCCCAATAATTAGTTATGCCGGAACGTGGCCGATCCCAATAAGTTATTGCTTAACGTGGCAACCGATTCCAATTAATTATGCTGAAACGTGGCAACCAATCCATTCAACACACCACAATCACAAGTATATTCTCAAAATCATTCAATCAAGAATGATTCATGACATATAATTATTTGTTCATATTCATTTACATTTATTGTGATTAATAATGCAACATTCGCATACATGCATGCATCATAATGAAGCAAGAACCAAAATATATCACAGAATAATAGAATCACAATCATCACCAACCTTGAATCCAAGCTTGAATTACCTAAGGCACTTGAATCTTCCCTTTTCGGATTCTTTCTGCTTGTTCTAGGTCTATAAAAAATTAATATACGCAAGGATCAACAGTCAAAAGTCTAACTATCCGGATTATAATAGACACAATAACCCTAGACCAAACCCTAGATCTCCAAGACCTTATTTCACACACGCCTTCAACCAACGATACTCAAAAAATACCATTCACGCCAAGATCAACTTCGGGAAATCTACTCACCCGAATTCAATTTCGTAAAGTCATACTTGTTTCTTAACGTCTCGTTATCTACTAATGTAATTAAATCATAATTAGGTCTCTCATTCGTTACCATATTTTCCTAGACCTTATTGACTCTGATTTCGTCCAAATCTGGATTAGGTATTGGGAAATTTCAAGTAACTACCAAAAAAGTTTTCTAGCTACAATTCTTTCTCCATTGGTTTTTCCCTAATGACGAAACTCAGGTTGTTACAGGGAGTTTAGTTTAATACTCCCTCTTGTCGCTAATTAATTATCCATTTTTTCTTTTCTAGTTATTCCTAATTATTTATTCATTTTGACAAATCAAGCAAAGACAAATGTTTTTATCTATCATACCCTCAATTAATTACTTTGGAAAAGGTATAACTTTTTGAAAACCTTAAGTCTTTTATTCATTCACTTCATAATTAATAAGGTAAAATGATAAACTCACTATATCCATCATTGTTTTCTTAATAGGTTACCCAATTCAAAAGTGGACAAGGAATTAGGGACAAAGGGAGTTATATTTGTGGGTCAAACCGTTTATATTTAATTGACAATTTGTACGTATGATATTTATAGTAGTATATAGGTAAAATGCATAAGTACCTCGCAACCTATTCCAAATATATCAGAGACACACTTATACTATACTAAGGTCCTATTATCCCCCTGAACTTATTTTATAAATAATTTTCTATCTCTTTTTGGCCTACGTAACACTATCTTTTGGGGCCCAGCACGTGTTGATTTTTCTTTCAAACAAATGTCAAATAGACCGAAAAAGGGTAGAAAATTATTTATAAAATAAGTCCAAGGGGGTAATAGGACTTTAGTATAGTATAAGTATGTCTCTGGTATTTTGAGTATAGGTTGAGGGGGTACTTATACATTTTTTTCTTTTATATATTATAATAATCGATAATTCAAAATATTTAAAAGATATATGAAAAATTTATTATTATAAACAGACTTAAGTACATCTTGAAATCCAAAGTATGTGGCATAAATTAGCATACAAGAAGTATTATTTTTAGTAATTTTTTATTTATTTGTTTATATGAAATGTTTAAGATCATATAATGAAATAATATTATTTGGGGTCTATTTGGAAAGTCACATGGTAATTGAAATTGGTATAATTACTGGGATAATAATTACCAGCCTACTAATTACACTGACCTATTTGGTTGTCACATGTCCTGTTTGGATGTCACAATGTAATTACACATATTCTGTTTAGATGCACAATTGCAATCATAAAATTATATTAAATTTTAATAATAAAATATTATTTAAAATTTATACTAGACAAATAAGAAACTTTATAATAACATTAAAATAAATATTTAAGGTATATGTTCTTTCTTGAAAATACATTAATTAATAAACATATAGTTTTTAACTAATAGTATGAAAAAAATAATTGACTTATATCTTTTTAAATTAATATATTTCACTTGAATTGATCATAACTGCCTTTTTGAATTTGGGATGTAGAGGCAGGGGCATCTCAAGAATATTAGTGGTCTAAAGCAAAAATCAAATGGGGCCTTAAACTTGAATTGTTACTAATTTGTATATAATTGATTTCTTCTAGTTTTCAATTGATGATATAATCATTCTTATTTAAATTATTTTTCATGAGATAAATAGTCCAAATATGTCAAATTTCTTCTAATATATTTCCTTCATTTTTCATGAAAAGTTAACTTTTTCTACAAATAGTATTCTGTTATAAAATCAAACTATAAGAATATAAGCATAAAGAGAAGAAGACAACAGAAGTAGATAGAAGAAGGGGAATTCTCTTCTTATTCAAGTGTATATCAAATGGAGAGTGATATCTCTATTTATAGTGTTGAGATATCACTCCCAAAAGTCATTTAACTAGTAGATACATAGTTATCTACAATGTTATCCAAAAGGGGGTTCATATCATCTAGGGAATACACATACATGAATTTAGTAGTTCATGAATAAATCAAATGATCATCTACTATTCAATGGATTTATAACACTCCCCCTTGGATGTCCATAGATAATGTGCCTCGTTAAAACCTTTCTAGAAAAAATCATGTGGAAAAAAAATCCTAGTGAAGGAAAAAGAGTACACATATCTTTTGATACACATTATTTGTTGCCTTATTAAAAACCTTGCCAGGAAAACCCAGTGGAAAAAGAAATTAGTCAAGGGAAAAAAAGTGCAACACATATTATACTCCCGCTGATTAAAACATCACTTAATTTCTTGTGATGATGCCTCTAATCTTTGTACATTGTGGTTGATATATTCTTTTTCAAAAAAAACCCACACATTTCCTGAATATGATTTGCAACCAGACGCACTTTCGACTTGCTTCATGGAGGGCTTTTATTTCTGCATAGCAACATTTACTTCATTAATCGCAGGATATTATTGTGTCTCCACATGCAAACACATAGAGTGCTTGAGATAGAACTTTATGCGGATCAGATAAATATTCTGCATCTGCGTAATCAATCAATTTTGTCTTGAATTCCTCAAAATAAAATAAACCCATAACTACGGTCCTTCAGGGATAATTCAATCATGTGCTCAACACCATTTCAATGTCCTTTTATCTGGGAGAAACTGAATCTTGCCAGTAAATTTACCGCAAAACAAATATCTGGTAATATTGTTAATAAGATGCACTAGTGCCCTGATTGCACCAAGATATGGAGTTTCATCACCAAGAAACTCTTCATCCTTCTTTTGAGATCAAACTGAATCATCATTTATTTCAAACGGTCTCATAATCATTGAGGTACTCAATGAATATGATTTATCCATATAAAACGCATCAAAACATATCTGTGTATGTGCACTGATAGACAAATATTTCATTGTCAAATTATCAATCAGTAGGTCAAGACAAAATTCTATCTTACAAAGACCTTTTCGTGAAATACAACGACAATTAGGGTCATTCTTTTGTACCCTTTTCCTCTTTGACTATTTCAATCCATATAAGGATTCTTGAAGCTTTATTGAAAAAGTTTCTTCCAAACTATTATATGCTTCAGACACCTTGTCTAGATAGACATTACAATTATTCACTACATGCATTCAAGTTTTTCATATGTTGCCAGATCAAAACAAACCTCATTGCATCCACCGAAAGAGAATAACATCTCCAATAATGTCAGCATCTTTGCGATAAACTTTTATGCCCCAGACACAAATCGTATTTGATATCTTACGGTTATACTATTGCATAATAAATTATTTATACTCCACTGACATTATACCTTGATTTATGGACTATTTATCCAAAACGTCACTTTTGTATGTGAAACAATATACTTGAATCATGCATTTACTTGGCCAACCTTTTATTTGTCCACACTATATGACAAATTTGAATTCAACATCCTCGTCACAATTTATATCATTGAGCGCTACCTCATATCAAAGATACCGTCGACAGTTATTTGATATTGATTCCAATATGACATAACTTATCGAGATCTCTTAATTTTTCATCATTTTCCAGGTACCTTAACCTTTTCTGAGGTTTTATGAAGTGTTATGTCAATGTGCTATTTTATAGCATTTGCCTCGTTATCATGACCATATTGATCATTTGCTCCTTCCTTCTTCAAGGAATTTTATATTTGAAACCGATTGGTCTATTACGCTTTCGATGTATCATAGACTCTGTCCTTCAAGGACTTCAGATTGGAGCATTTGCAG